ATTTAAATCGATTCAAATCGTACTATTGTTTTTCATCAAAATATCACAAAATTATACAATTAAGATACATTGAAGAAAAATTTGTTAACTTGACTAAATTACTATTTTGTTAATTGAAAATATATTAGTATTTAAGTCAAATATAGATGTATTGTTATAGATTTAATATGTTATATTTAATTTAAATATTTTTATATGTGTTCGTTTAACAAAATAATATTTAGTTGATAGGTTTAATCAAGTTAAAAAACTTTGTTTTCAGTGTACAAATAGAAAACAATAGAATACAAACAGAAAAACAATTATACATTAAAGTCAGTATATAATATTTTGCGCGACAAGCTTTCAATATACACTTTTCACGTAAAATGGACAATTCGCACGTTCGAACTTTTTAGTTTTATTTGGTATCTGTATAAAATATGTACGAAAAAAAAAAAAATTTTTATTTATACGAAAAAATTTTATTATCCTAAATTATGGGCAGTCCTAATGACTACTATCCACTTTTTTACGATACGGTATTGCTGTCCAAATGAGTCTTAAACTGTCTCTCTTAAATAGGCTTTAAGGTCTGCACGGGGCAACATAAATTCTAATTCCGAATGAGAGAGGAGAAAAAACAGAGATAGCGACAATTGCGGTTAATTAATAGCGCGCTCCGCGAATTCGCCTGGAATTCCGCGACGTAATCCGGAATCCGCGATATAAGACAGAGAGAACACACGATCTTCTATTCATGTAAATATATCTATGGGATTACCATCGAAATGACGTCGATCGGCGCGAAGCGGCATCGACTCGGCGTCCTTGCGAGGAGAAAATCGCGAGGTCCTTTCTCGAGGGGACGCATTTGCGCCGCAAATAACATGTACTTTTCAAAAATAGCACGGACAATTATACGTATTAGTGTTTAACAATATCAAATCTCAAATTACCTCTCGCATAAAATAAATAAAGGCTTAAAGGATTTTAGATTTTAAATAAACATCAAACGCGATGATTGAGTTGTTTTTACTGGATGACTGGAACATAATTGAAGAGTTAATAGTTTTGGATCGATATTACACACACGGTGGCACCATACCCGAAGATAGTGCCGACTTCTATATAAGGCCTACCATCGAGGCGCCTGGTATTTGTCATTTCCGACAGGAAAGGCCGCGTGCTGTCGCTCTCGGCTTCTTTCGGAATATCGCGATCGTGATTAATATGGAGTGCCTGTCACCTTTAACCACATGACAAGTGCTATTCTCCAATTTGTTTAAAAAAATGCCTTTCGCGAAGCTGCTTTAATATCGATCCTTCCTTTCACGTCATTTACAGTTTAATCAATTTAATAGATTTATTTTTGATTAAGTGCGGTAGACATATTTTATTTGATTGCAAAATTGAATTATTATTACTACGAATTAATTACTGCTACAAAAATAAGTGAATATAAATAACTGATGATAAATGCACATTTTTGACTAAAAATTTGACAATTCTCGTGGGAACTAAATACTCAAATTTTTAATAATTTCTAAGTATAAATCCGAAAGAAAAGCGAATTTTTAGCGTCTATAAATTAATATTCGCGAAGAATAATATTAGATGTAAAAATTATTATTAAAAGATTATTCAAAGAAAATGCATAGAAAACTTGAAATAGGCTTAAATATTTCTCGATTCCATCGCTGCATTTCATTTACGTTAGGCTAAGATGCATATGGCATGCAGACGCCTTCCTCATCGTATATAAGTAGAGTACGAAAAAAACACAGTCTGTAAAAATGTCGCAAACGATAGAAAAGAGAAAGAAATGCAGAAAAGTGCTCCCAGAAGTGGCAGTATCGAGAGCACTGTGGTTCCTTATCGTTTCTTGTCGCGTACCTTATTATGCTCGCCGCTTGGCCACTCGTCACGGCTCGTAAAGTCGATATATGCAAAAGCACTGCTACCTCGCCCTCCCTCTGTTTCTGCTTACTGATACAACCCAATCTACCCCCTGCCACAGGTAAGAAATTCCAGCACCTCACTTCGAGATCTGCCGTAATCCTTAAACCGGATCCAGACTGAAGTATACTACACTTTGCTTTAAAATTCGAACGTATCTAATGCTGAATGTGGAGGCTCGTATACGTATATCACCCTCTTCTCGATCTAACTTATTTACAATGTTTCAATCAGACTTAAAGTGCACAGTACATCAATATTTAATACAATCTATTTTTTATTTAATCTCTGCTCTTTTTGTTTTTTTTTTTATTTCTCTTAATTCAAATTAAGGAAAATTTTTAAATTCTGCATTCATTGTAAAAATGCATCTATAACAATCTTATATTTTTTCAGCGACAATAAACCTATCACAAGATTTAAAGCTATTAATTAATTCGAAAAGAGTACCTTAAATATATTTTATTAATTTTATCGAATGCGAATAGATGATATGACTACACAGAGAGAATTTTCTCTTAGAATTTACTCTGAAAGTCATGGTAATCGTGGGACAATAAAAAAATATTAGTATGTACATAGTATAAATTGTATTATGTACATATTAATATCTTTTATTGTTTCACGATTACCATGACTTTCAGGGTAAATTCTAAGAGAAAATTCTCTCCGTGCCTCCTTATTTCGCGGAATATATTTAATGCGAAAGATACGATTTTTCGCTTTTAAATTTGTCGCGTGACAAATAAATCTAATTGCCGATCGCGCGTAATCAGTAGTATTGATACGTTTATAAGGGTTCGTGCAGCGACATGATACCGTCTTACCACGGTCTGAATCCGGCTTTAAGGCGCATATACTCGGTGACTTTCTCCGAGTTGGCGCATACGGGAACGCACGCACGAGCTGCCGCGGTTTTATCGTCCTCTCCTGCCTACTCTAAATATCTCTTTGGCTACTCCGGTATGAATTTATAACGATGACGTGCCGCTAATAACGAGCGCAGTCTGGCATTTATACGAGCGTCGCGCCGTGCCGATCGGACACTTCATCGCGAATCCGGTGGGCATTATGAGCGCGCGCGACGAGGCCCGATGGCGATGAATGGAGCTCGTTTCGATGCCCGACTCGAGCAACCGAGCGGTGGATCGTCGTCGTAGATCAGTGAAAGTCGGGCTTGATCCGGACAGTTCCACGATCGGCCCTGGATCGCGATCGATCGCGCAGTATCGTTCCGGGAAAGATATTACATCCGGCGTCACGCGTAGGAAAAATACATAATAAATTACCATTTTTAAATCCACAATATCTGGATATTATGGAAGATCGTTATTGTGTTATTGAACGATATATTTTAATTAACGAATCAATAATAATATATTCCACCGATTTTCACGAGTCCTTTTGCCTTCTTGTTTCTTCGCAGTAATAAGATTCGCAGTAATGATATTCATAATCGCGGTGTTCTATCGCCATATATGCCGCGGTACTTATCTCGGTTGCTCGTAGGTATAGTTGCCTATAAAGTACGCGAACCTTACGCTTGTTATTTCCACGCAACTGTGGCCTGGCATGAAAGCGTCACGATTGTCGACCGCATTAATCGAGTAATTAAAGCATTATTCATTGTGTCTCGCATTTTTTTAAACGCCCTAATTTACCGTGCTCTTAATGATTTGTTAAAATTGCTTTAATAATGTCCGAGTTAATAAGCTGACACACGTGTATATGTATGCATACGTCGACATTCGATTGGTCACGTTACGAATGACTACTCTATTCGTCGCTGCAGTCGAGTGGGTCGTGTGGGAGATACAAATTGTATGCAAGTTCTTTTTTTTTTTTCGTTTCAACATCGTGTCCATAAGAGCCAGCAATTTTAACATACAAGTTTTATGCAGTCGCTTGTCGATAAAAAAAAAAAAATAAAAAACAAATATGCACGCTGTCACAAACATATAATTTCAATTTCGCAAATCATCTGCATTAGTCATACATGCAGAAACAATATTAAATACGTCGAAAAAGAAAAAAATGTATAATGTTTTGCGAGTTAAACATATGAGATTCACTATCAAATTATCATCAAAAAATACTGATAATAAATTTATTTAAAAATAATTTAACGTTTAACTTTTTTAATAATTAATTGAAAATTGATATTAAATTTCTTATAAGAGATCGCAAAATTAAACATAAAAAAGTTATTATGAATTTATGTGATTCGAATTTTTTCACAGACGCATTTAAGAGAATAATTGGCGATGCGGCATATTTTACTAAAAATGTAGAATGAAAGGGCTCTTTAACACACTACTCTTCACTCTTCCCACTCTGCATTAAGCTCAATCGTAATTCACGCCACGCAGGACGAAGAGCTTCCGCTCTTTGCCACGCAGGACGTCACACACATCCTTTTTCCTCTTCTTTACAATGCACACGTGCAACTTGGATGCGTTTTTAGCACGTGTCGCGTGCACGTTTGTGAATGGGGAAAAAATTTCAACAGGAAATCGAAGCACTTGTCTAGCATCATCGGAACTATATTTTCACATTTTTTACTTGCATATTTCGTGCCTGTACTATTAACGTTAATAATGTGTTCCTTATTTGAGTTTTAAAATGTAATATTTTTTAATATAAAATATAAGAATTTAATATATGTATATAAAAATATTTGATAATAGAGAAAAAACTTGCAACTTATATATTCATTTTGAAAATAACGACTTGCCGTAAAATGTTCGAAAAAAAAAAATAATCTGCGCATATTCTAAAAGAGTTACACTACTGTTGCGCGCGTGTGATCATACTTTCACGATACCGTGCATAGACGGGGATGTTTACGGAGCGGCGAGAAAATAAACGCGGAAAGAGCCGGAGAACGTGACAATCGTGTTCTAGGATTGAGGCCAATGGGTATCTCGATCGCGGGGGAATTTTTCGACGATGATAGTCGCGCGATAAGGATCGCCTCGTTATGACTGTACGAGCGCTTAGCCGCACGGATAATCGTGCTTCCGCGATAGTTATAGCTCAGGCAAATCATTCGTGACACTTACTTTGCATAGAGCGACGCCAGTGTCCAGCCTGTCCATAAAATTGTCGAGATTGATCCTAAGTTCCGGATACAGAGCGTTCAGCCATTCAGCCAGGTCCTCCTTCATCGCTATCAGGTATTCCTCCGAGGACTTGAACGGCCTGTACGACCTGCCTTCCAGTAGCACCGACATGATTTTAACGGTATGAAAGCTGAAAGCAGAAAGATAGTGCATCCTATTTAAAATTTCATATAACTTATATATTAAATATTTATGTATTAAAAAAATTAGTTCTTGCTTTATCTTTACTGTTGGCTCTCTTCGCTGAGTTCACTTTTATTTCTAAATGTTGATTTAAATCAATAAAATTTTGAACATTTTTTCAAATTCTATATTATTAATTTTATTTTGTCTACTCTTTTAAATTTAATTTTAATTTAATATTACATAATAAATAAATAAATTATTTCTCATTATGTTAACACACTGTTTTGCTGTTAATTACACAAGTATATTTAAATTTTCTGTAAATTTATACTTTCGATTTACCGAGGTTTCCGCATCTTATATAATATTTTGTTACTTCTGCTTGCCTAGAGCATTCAGAAAGAACTAACGTAACTGAAGAAACTTCCTACTGTAACAAGGGAGAAAACTTCTCCCACCCTTTGAAAGTCCCGAAGGACCAGGGTTACTTTTAGCTACAAAGTGGGGAGCTTAGCCCAACTTCGTACAATTCGTAGAATTCTTCAATTTTCAGAATCTTTGACATTTTATCCACTCTTTCTTTTTCTAAATTTTTGACCAATCTCATCGAATATTTTTTTATATGTATCTATTATTTTCGTTATTTATTGTCTTTCAATTTTTTTCTTTTTCGTGCCTCTTTATTCAATGCTTGATTATACATATTATTTCATATATAGCTTATTCCATATGGAATGCAGAAAATGTATAATACACAGTACAGTTAAGGAAGACAAATTATGTTGCGTCCTAGTTTGCGATAGATACGTGTTCAATTAAATTCTTATGATTCTTTGTAAACCTCGAAACAAATCTCGAAAAAAACTATGATCAACGTTATTTATCGTCCCGATGAAAGCCACATTCGTTATGCCCGGGAACTGCAATGTGCCGCTAACGGAATCTCGATTCGTTTTCTCACGCGATATTTCCACGTCTAGATACCGTTGCGTATGCAAATCCGCGGGCATTATTTCGCGATACAAGAGGCAGATTATAAATATCCGATGAATAAAAAAACGCGAAACCAGACAATGGCCACTCCGGGTGTCGTTGTTGACAATGGTCAACCCTGCGATATTTTCCCCATGGTTCATCATGCAGCACCCTATGTGTATATATGTATACATATACGTGTCTGTTTCGATTACATTCTGCCACAATATTCGGATCGCGAAATTTCAATTTATTTTTTTTTCTATTTCTTTTTCTCTAATAAATAACAAGTTTGTTATATTACTTTCATTTTCGACGTAAACATTTTTTATTGTTACACCTAATGTGTTTTGCGTGTGTGTGTTTACTGAAAAAAAAAATGACTAAATTAATACATATTTAGTTTAATACTGCCAAATAAATCATTTATTTGAAACAAATAAATTTTTATTTGTTTTGAAAAGGCTTTTCTTATATCAAATAAATATTATTAGTTTCAAATAAATGATTCATTTGGAAGTATTGAACTAAATACTTATTCGAATTAAATAAATTTTTTTTCAGTGTATTATATTTTAGAAAAATTTTACTTACAAAGTCTTCTATATATCATCACTGTCGACAATTTCGTTTCAGAAAACTAAGCTGTCCATTTATATTGTTATTGTTTATTTGTTTTATAATCTTCAACTTTCTTTCAATTTTTCATCTCTTACTTTCTCTTTTTCAATAGATTTATTTCATTTTTAAACACAAGGTATTTTACTTGTCGTCCATTGAGTCGCTTAAATCTTATTTTGTTTCGGGCGGTGACGTACATAAATCTCCATCAATAGTATTGTATACAACTCATCGAGTAGTGCACAAGTTAATAGTATCGAGAACTCGCCAAGTCGCAATGTCGGAAGTGAAATCATTGTAAGACATTACTCCAATGAAACCGACGTTGAATAAGATCGCGTCGCAGAATGACGTTTCAACGCGCTCGACTTTCATTGAATGAAAATCTCAGTCCAACGCGACAATGCAAAATATTTAATATTTCGTACTACACACGTTGAATTGATAAATAAAAATCAAAATTAGTTCACATAAATTTACTAGTCTTTCATCGTCGGAATTAAAAGAAAATTTACGACAATTAAAAATAATCTGTATTACGTAAAAATATTCCACAACATATAATATTATTTAAAGACAATGTACAAACACATGTTTTTCTTTCAACAATTTCGAGATCGCGTTGTGCGATGTGCAAAATAAATTAATATTCCCTCGCACTCTCTAAATATTTTAATTTCTAACAGCCTGCATGTGTTGGCCAAACAAATGATCGTGGGAAATGATCTGCACACATGCGCCGCCGGGGTATAATATCTAACAGTGATAAAACGCTCCATTCATAGGACCCCATGAAGCTTCATTTCGGTGTGGTCTGAGCCCCTCTAATTCAACGAGCCTTTGTCAAGGGTTGACCAAAACTAGTTTGAAAATTACGGTTTAGTAATATACGCAAACGCATGACGAAATTCAATTTAACAAATAATTTTAATTAAAAAAAATTTTATCTCGAGATTTATTTCAAAAGAACATAACAGTGGCTTTTCGTTAAAATAACTATCGGCTTCAACTGTTCGAAAAGCTATAAAACATTTGTGAATTGAAAAAAGATTTGAGACGACTCTTTTTAAATGATCGGACTATCGGCTTCTATACAGTCATGAAAATCATGGAATAATATGATATTGGAATAATTTAAATAAGAGTTTCTCTGATCACAATGAAAAATATTAACATCTACCACAATAAGATATAAAATATATTCGATTAATTTGACTATGTATACATAGTAAATTTCACTATATGTAGTAAATTTTACTATGATTTTCAAGATACATAAATTCTAACGTCATCCCTGTAAGTCAAATCTTCGCGGACACACAATTTCTCATTCTTTTCAATTTCTTTTCCGATTAATTTATTACGAATACATGTAAATAAAGACACATATCTTTTACCCATTCGCCTATTATAAATCCGAGATTTCACTGGTGCGTTTTGTCACGCAAGTTCGACACATGGTCGAGATGCATTCTCGACATGTGTCGTCCAGAACGCTTTCGTAACGATAAAGCGAAACCGCGGGAGATCTCCTATTTTAGCCTGACTTAAAATTTCTATTTCATAATTCTTGACGCAAACCTTCGGGAGTGACTAACAAGCCAGTTTTACTTCGATACTCTGACCGAACGCACGCTCTTCCACCCTTGTACGGTTCATGAATAAATACACAGAGAAAAAGGAATAAAAATCGAACGAAAAAGGAATTGATGCATAAAGAAAACACGGAAATGGACCGAGAATGGCGTGAGATGAAAGATTCGTGCGCCGATAGCGACGATCATGGATTATGATTTACAAAAGGCCGCGAAATGTCATTCTATCGCGTTTTCCGGATGCGTGCACTGTTTGAAAATGCTAAAGTTTAAATCGATAACGAATGAGTAGAACGATTCGCGGAAACGGCTCATTTGGAGCAAACAGCTTAACTGTAGCGCTCAATCGATTCTCCTTCGACGAACGCGTGGAATAATCCACGATATGCGATTATCTCGTATTTGGATTTGGAATGCTATATGCTCCGGATATAGACTTGATAAAATATATTACGTTGCAGCCATATTTAGTTTGGCAATTTTCATTAAACTCAAATGATCAAGACACACACAGTTCTTTGTGTGACTTCAGAAGTTGAGAGATATAAATATTAAATAAAATATTATGTTATCTAAAGAAAAAATAAAAATTTTCTCGGTATATACACAGTGAGTTAAAAACGAGGGTGCATCAGGCTGTCAGCGGCTGGTGGTTAATTTACGGGTTAACTTACAACCTTTATCGCCACCCGCGAAGCCGAAGGTCGCTAAATCACAGCGGGGTTGCGAGCTTGTAAAACGTCGTTACACTCCGTCGGAGTTGAGTTTTATAAATGTCAGCGCAGCGCGAAGGAATCTATTAGAGATTCGCGCAAATGCACCGTGAAATTTAATCCTTAAACGCGCGCTATCCTTTTCGTAGTCGTATAGTGAGTTTGAAAATTGATAGCGTCTACCTTTATTTAACGTAAAGTGAATTTAACGGGATTTTATGAATTTCTTCTTTCGCGTGATTCTGTCATTAATAAATAGAGAAACGCGTTTCCGCTTTGACACCGAATGAAGTAACACGGATGCCGATTACCGACGTTAATATTATCAACGTAATAATATTTCATAATTCATGACGCAGCTAGCTTTGTAATTATGTCATATATATTATATATTACTAACTATATTATTTTAATGTGCTTTTTAGATATGAAATTTTATTATGACGAATATGAAATTCTGTAAAATCTTGTTATGATTTTTATTTTAAAATTGAATTTTATTGAAAATGAAAAATATGAACAATTTATTATTTTAAAATTGAATTTTATTAAAAATAAAAAAAATATTAAAAAGGTTGTAGAATATTAATAGAGAAATTATATAATACATTTTCGCATTATATTACAAAAAATATTAAGATAGAAATTCTAGAAATATACATACATTGAAAATTTGTTAACTTTGCTAGACCTTTCAACTAAATATTATTTTATTAATTGAACATATAAAAATATTTAAATTAAACAATATGATCAAAAGGCTCGTTAAATTAAAAAAAAAAACAATATAAATAACGGCTAATACGAGCTGCAAAAATTAGGATGGTAAAAATTATCAGTCTTTCTGTATCTTATATACAATTTAATACGGAACGTTTCGGCACATACTTGTGCTTCTTCAGCCACTGAATAATCACTCCTTACATCAAATTATCATTATACAATATTTGTGATCGTTACACGATCAGATATGTTAATAATTTATTTAACTGAGAATCATCACTCTAAAAATTAGTTATATTAATATTCAGAGAATAGAAAAGTTCTCTGAATATAAGTGGTTCACATGTTAACCGAACCAAAAACGCTTAATAACTCAT